CTTGTTTACCTTCAAGCCTTTAAGACCCTAGATGCTATATCTTTTGATAGCCTGGCACCATCAGCTTTCTTTGCTACATTTGCTTATGCACCCATTTGTATTCAGCAATCATATCAGGGAGGTGGGCACACAAGGATATGATTTTTTGTTCTTTGATGCCTGATAACTGATCCATCGGCACCTCGTGATCACAGGCTGGTGTGATCTTCCATCAGGACTCAGATTTGTGGCTTTCTGGTTCCAGGGTTGATTTTAACCCTCACCTGCTCTCTGCCACACTGTTTAATTCTCCTGAGCTTTAGCATGTGCACTCTGTTTTGGAACAAGGACTCGCTTATCTGGAAGCTCTCCTGTCCTTAGACCGAGAAGGACTCTCTTGCGTATAGAGGTTATTTTTGCTTGGGTCCGCCCAGGCCTTAGCATATGCTGCCTTGCAGGGGTGATGTGCTGGCAGGAGAAGGGCTGCTTGCTCTCATGATAAAGCAGACGGACCCAGGGGTACTTCTGTGGCTTTCTGCTAAATGCTCACCTGAGTCTGTTGAAACTGCTCAGTAAGTCTGGTACACATATAGTTTGCAATTTTGGTTGCTTTTTAGAAGACTGATGCTTTGAGAAAAGGAATTTTTTGGGGGGTGGGGTGGGGAGAACAATTGTCCATGGTATTTTTAGATTTGGCTGAGCTTGGCAGTTGCCTTGGTCACTGGGTGCCCTCTGAGGCATGCGCCCCACCCCCCAGCACCAACCACCAGGTGGCAGTGTGCTCTGGTTCCTGGGCTGTCCACCTGCTTATCTCTGTTAATGCAGAGTCAAGATCTTGCCTGGCGATTACTGTTCCCCGTGGAAGCTTCAAAAAGTTTGTAGGGAAATAGCATATTTCAATTTCATGTTCCCATGAGCTGTTTGGAGGCCCCTCACATTTGAAGAGCTTGTTCAATTTCATGTTCCCATGAGCCGTTTGGAGCCCGCTCACAATTTGAAGAGCTTGGATCTGCGTTTTCTTTTAGCTGGACCCCGTTTATCTCCTGACAGAGCTGAAAAGCAAAACTAAACACCAGTCTGCATGCTGCCTTCCTCACCGCACCTCTCTCCTGAACGAGCCAACGGCCTCCCCACACCTCTTGCAGTTTTTGGAGCTGCTCAAATGTCACCTGCTAGCCAGTCCATCCCTGACCACCTGTCCTCTGACAAAGGCAGCAGTCTTGTCTGTCCATTGTGCTATCTCCCATCTCCGGGACTGGGCCTGATACGTAAGAGGTGCTCGATGCACCTTTATGCAACAAAGGGACAGAAGTATCCAATCAAGCAAGAGGGAAATGGGGCCCTGGAGGACAAAGCATTTTCTCTGACCGTTAGAAGCAGGAAGTAACTTGGGATTCCAGATTGTAAAATGTACAACTCTTAGAAGGGACAGGAAAATAGTTTATCAAAGTGGACAGTTGATTTTAAGTATTGCTGGGGCAAGAGGGGCAGGGCAGGTAGTAGGGAGTCTCACAGAGGGACAATGAGTGCCATTTGTGGTGGCCGAGATCAGACAGACTGTGTAGGGCTGCTCACCTGGCCAGTCTCTGATGAGAGCCCCTGGCTGTGGATGACTGTCGCCCTACTTGTATGTCTTCAGGGCCCCTGTGAGTCTCTTCTCTCTCACAGGCAGGCCCTGTTCAAACTCCGTGCCTGGCTCCATAGTCCCGGCACTTGGGTTCTTCGATTTGATGTTCAGTTTCTCCCTAGGAATGCAGGAAGCTGGGGATACGAAGGCTTGGTTAAGTTCTCCCTTTGTATCACCTCACAGGGAGGGAAGGGGGAACGTGCCTTGCTTCCTGTGGTGCACCCACCCTGCCCTTAATGAAAGCACGGGGCCATAGCTGTGTCCATGTACGCCCATGCCCAGCTCCTCGGGCCAGCTGGGAGTCCTCATGTTCCCTGTCTGGATGGCAACGTCCCTGCCCGCTCTCTGCACCTGTAACTCCAGCCAGCTGGCCGGGGCGACATCATTTGGAGTTAAATGCTTCTCTCTGCTTCTCTCACGTCACTGCATTTGTTTGGCTCGCAGGGAAGGTCCGTGTCGTTAACAACTTTTTACCGAACAGCAAGGAATATCATGAACATGTGCTTCAGCAAGGAGCCTGCACCAGCGGAAATTGAGGTGAGTGTGGTTGACTTGTGAGTTTGTGCTCCATTCCCCGTCTTCTTGAGGTGCCTGGAGGATGTGGATGGTGGCTTACATTGTCCTCTGGGTAGCAAGGGCCAGCCAAATGTTTCCATCTGTGCTGGAGTCTGAATTCAAAACCAGAGAAGAGAGATGGCCCTCGCTGGCTTCATGGCCTACTGCAGCTCTCCCCTGCCTCGGATGTGCAGTCCCGGAAAACTGCGATTGTAGGATCTTTTATCCCCGTTTTTTGTTGTTTGTTTTATTTTTATTTTTTAAATGGGATTGGCAGGCTGCCCTTGTTGTGCCTCTGCCAGCTCTTCTTTTTGAGTGAGTCTGAGGTTGGAAAGAGTAAATGGTTCTGCTGAGACCACGAGGGGTAGACTGTATACGCATGCGTCTCTGCAGGACAGGAGGAGCCCAGGGTGGTGCTAAGGGCTGTCTGTCTGAACTGCAGGAAGCTGGTGGTGGTGGGCCTTGGACAGCCCTTGGCCATGTAAAGTAAAATAAACCAGACTTGGCTGCTGCTTCCAGGGCAGCTGGAGTGTGTGGACTGCAGTGTCTCCGTAGCAGGCCCAGGCCCCTCTGACTGGCTAGTCTGTAATGGACTGGCGAAGTCTGCATGCTGAGCTTGCAGGTAACCAGGGGTCCCACACCATGTGGGACGGGGCAGCTCTGACCAAACCAGCTTCGTTGTACATACAGCATCCATCGGCTCTGGTGTCCCACATGGCCAGTAAAGCCAGTCCTGGTGCTGAGGCTGAGGGTCCTGGAGTGGTGGATGCTCCTTGACGGTTCAGTCCCTTCATGCCTCTGCCTCTGCCGCTGGGCCAGGCTTGCCTTCGCTGTGCACTTGGGCTGCCTGTGAGTGCCTGCTGCCCTGTCCCTTGGCTGTTGGCTACACCCCTCACCCCCCGTGCAGCTGTGGTTACTGCTGGAGCCATCCACTTCACTTAGCCGGGTCCTTGCTCTGGGACATGTGGTCCCAAGCACCTGCTTGGGGCCTTCTGGCACAGGGGTGTCAGAAGAAAACTTGAGCATTTGCTGCTATGTATCTTCTGAAAAGATAGGGGATTATTGTGATTGGTCGTGTGAAGAAAGATTAGCTTATTACAAATCCTGCTGGCTTTGCTGCAGCCACTGAATAAATAGTGAAGCGCCGAGGGAAGAGTTGTCGAAAAAGCAAACTCTGTCTAGTGCTGCTGAGCTTCGAGTACCCTCCCCAGGAAGACTTGTCCTTACCTATGGTGGGAGGTCGACACCTGGGCCCAGGCCTCGTGCTCTGTTCAGGTGGCATGGTAGGAGGAGCCACCAGCCGGGCGCTTTGTAACCAGCTGTTGCTGCCTTCCTGGCGCGCAAGGAAACCAACCCAGAGACATCACCCCTGTTTCCGATTGAATTGGTTGAGGTGTTTCCTGGCCAACATTCTTTCCCTATAACAGATGATAGGAGACGTGCAGTCAGGGGACACAGGGGTGTCCTGGGTTTTGGATGTGTGTACTGTGTGAGGTCTGAATGTGGTCTTCATGTGGCCCTGAGCCGGCCTCGGCCTTCTAGACTTTGTAGCATCCCAGGACCTTGCACTGGGGGTGTTAGAAGCAGGCTTTCGAGGTTGTGCGTGGTGGTGCCCAGGGTGTGCTGCTCCTGCTCTGGACGGCATTCGTGGCTTCAGCGCTGTAGATTTTGCCAAGATTGGGCATGGTGAGGTGGTGGTTCTGGAGTGGTGGTAGAATGTACAACGGAAAGCTGACTGTGGGGAATGAATTATCTGCTGAGCAGTGGCCTGGTCCTCTCCACCTGCAGTTCCCCTGGTTGCTGTGCTCCAGCTGCCAGGGTGTGGTCCGTGCATTCAGTGTTCTTTTCCTGCCACCCATGGTCTGATAGGAGTGGATAGGGCCAATATAAGCGGCCGGGCATTAATATGTGTGATCTGTGTATGTCTGCATGCCAGACCCAGTTGTTCTTGGCTGCCGTCGTGCCACTGTGACTCGGGCACCTTTATTTAAGCAGAGTGAAACACTGCCCGGCCTGCCACATCGTCTTGATCTTGTTTTACTAGTGTATGTATAGTGGGCACTGTTGGGCTGCACCTTTTCAGGTAGCAAGGTTTCCCTCCCCCTGCCTGCTCTGCTTCACCAAACACAGGCCTCCTGGCTGTAGACGGACCAGGGCCCTGCAGGAGGCTGTGCGCGTCCTTCTCTGGTCATGGAATGTGCCCCGTGGGGGGACTTGTACCTCGGGTGGGAGGTAATGTTCCAGTGTTGCTGTGTTGCACTTCCGCCTCTCCTGGTGGTGTTGTTGCTGACCGGCCTCTCCCTTCCCTACAGCAAGAATACTGGAGGCTAGTGGAAGAGAAGGACTGCCACGTGGCCGTCCACTGCGGGAAGGTGGACACGAACACGCACGGAAGTGGGTTCCCTGTGGGAAAATCAGAACCGTTTTCAAGGTAAAGCTGGGCCCCGTCTGCTTTCATCACCGGTCCCTGTGGTGCTGCGGCCAAGCTCACGGCTGCTCTGGTTTCCCTCCACAGGCACGGATGGAACCTCACAGTGCTCCCCAATAACACAGGGTCCATCCTGCGTCACCTCGGTGCTGTGCCTGGTAAGCCTGGGGTGCCAGTGGAGACAACCTTTCTACCCTTGGACGATGTCTTTTCAGTGGTGACAGTTTTACTTATAATAGGCACAGGGATACTGAGGCAGGAGAATCTCACAGAATCCTGGAGCTGTGTGGAGTTTTCCCATGGAAATTTATTTGAACTTCGAAGTTGGTGCCCTTTAAATGAAAATGCATATACTTTGAGGTTCCACGTGGTTCCATTTAAGCTCGTCTGAGCTTTTCTTGTCAGAGATCAGAGAACACACAGGGCCCGGGGGTAGTGGTCCCTGGGAAGGCTGGTCCCTTGGAACCTGTCTCGAGAGAGACATTTCTGGCCCATGCTAGGGAATCCAGTGTTAGAGGCTCCTTTTAACAAAGATGCTTAATTTCCAACACAAGTAGAAGTTTATTCTTCTCAGTATTGAGGCTCAGTGTTAACAAAATCACCATACTCCTATTCCTTGGGCCCAATTCAAATGCCCCCACGGCCCGCCAAGTGGATGTCGGTTCATGACAACCCTACAGGACAGCGTAGAGTTTGAACTGCTAACCTCGCAGCCAGAGTGCTTCGACCCCAGGGCTAATTGTTCACAAATTAAAGGTCCTCCTTTCACAGGGTGTTCCTGGTCTCTGTATGTGACAGCCCAAGTGTGCGCCCGCGTGCACGTGTGTGTGTGTGTGTGTGTGGTTTTTGTGTACTTCTTTCAGGATGGGGCAGGGATTTTTAATCTCTCACTGCGATGCTCTGTGGAGCCCCTTAGACTAACCCTTCCTCTTGATGTTTCAGGAGTGACTATCCCCTGGCTCAATATTGGCATGGTCTTTTCTACCTCATGCTGGTCTCGAGACCAAAATCACCTTCCATATATCGACTACTTACACACTGGTGCTGATTGCATTTGGTGAGTACCCCCAGTGTCCATTTTATTTTTTATTTTTATTTTTTTTCCAGTGTCCACTTTCATGGCCTTTATTCGTTCCTGTAGTTTGTGTTTTGTCGTTGGTGCTTTTGTTATTACACGTGGCCATCTTAGCTGTTGGAAGTTGTGCCTGTGTTTTTGTTTACAATTTTATGACCTTAGTTTGCACGCTCAGGTCCCTAATCCATTTTGGATTTGATTTTGCTGTGTGTGTGGGTTTGTGTGTTTTTTATTATTCATTGTTATTTAAGAAGTATCGCAGGGACCTCATTGAAGGGGATGAAAAGGAGACTGGGATATGGTGAGAGACCTTTATGGTGTGTGACTTTTCTCAAAACATGTGACTTAGGTTAGAAACCCTACATTTAAATTACAAATCAGTAACAAGATATGCTGGCATTGAAGTAAGCTAAGCATTTTAGAAAATTAACTTGCATGTGGTGATAGGCTACTCCATTCACGTAACAACTGGAACCAGGGTTTGACCTTTCAACAGTCACCCGAGTGTGGAGCTGAGGGCAGGCAGGCTGCCTGGCTGGGAGCTGCTTGGGGTGCTGCTGACATTGGGCACAGCGACCTCTCCTCCGGGGACTCCCTCTGCCGCAGCTGCCCTGGTCTCGCAGCCAAGGGCGGGCGGCCAGCGACCCCAGGCCATCTGCCCTCAGTCATGCTGCCGCCAGCAGAGGCCAGGCAGCCACAGTGGAGCCTCCTACCCCTGCCTGCCCACTGGGTTTGCCCTGCTGGAGGGCTTTCATCCGGGGGCGCCTTCAGCCCCAGCAGAGTGACTAGCAGCTGGGCCCTGAGGGCCTGCCTGCCACACATTGTGCCTTGGACTCTCGGTGTGCCATCCATGGCCCTCCCTGGTCCACAGAGCTCCCCTGCGGGAGAGTCTCTGAAGGCCCAGCAGCATTCCTTGGGCGACAATGGTGGGGCCCAGGCCCATGCTCAGCTCCTTCCTGGCTTCAATGACTTGAGGGGGTTTTGCCAGACTGGGGCAGGCTTCATGAGGGCGGCCCCTGTATGGTGCTAAGGTTGGCACTGGGGCTGGGGGTGGGGCCTTCCTTGGGGCATGGTCGGAGACAGTGTTTGTGGGACGTCTGCTTCTGGCTGGAAGCTTTCTGTGCAGGTGGGGAGATAGGCGTCCAGGGGAGCGGCTCTCATCACTGGCGGCCTGCAGCTTGTTTGCCTGTGAGCCATGCAAATGCAGGCAAGGCCTCTGGGGAGGTGGACCGAGGGGTGGGGCCTCAGTTGCTGCTTAGACTAAGCTGAAGTGTTCTGAGGATGGCTCTCTCCGTGCCTGCCTCATGGGCCACGCTCTAGCTTGGCTTTGTGGCCTGCCCCCTTCATTCTCTCTCTTGTGGGGTGGGTGATGGCCACCCCCTTTCACTCTTAAGGTAGGAGGAGCTGGGAAAAGAGGCCCCAGGTCCTGGACTGCTCCGTTCTCGCTGTAAATCTGGTGTCACACCCCCCACCCCAGGTATTGCATCCCCGCTGCAGAGGAGAGCAAGCTGGAGGACGTGGTCCACACGCTGCTGCAGGCCAACGGCACCCCTGGGCTGGAGATGCTGGAGAGCAACGTCATGGTGCGTGCAGCAGCCTCGCTTGGTGTCCTGTGAAGGTCCCAGCCCTACAGCCCCCATGGAGCGTGTGCACACTGCACAGGCCCGGGCTTGTGTGGCGTGGGCTGCACGGTGGGAGGAGCCCTTGATGTGGTGTGATGCTATGGGGCTCATGGCAACGCCCTGTGTCTCAGGAAGTGAGTTCAAAGGGGTTTTGCCCCATTCGCTGCACCGGGAATGCGGAGCTCCTGCCTCTCTGGGGCCCTGGCCGCTGGCACTCCTGGGCATGCCCGTTCCTAGGGCTGTAGTGGGGCCTGTGGGGGCAGCGTGTTGCACTCAGCCCTGTGTGAGTCCCTGCCGGTGGAGACCTGTCCTGTGCGTTAGGAGCCACGTGTGTTTACTCCCTGGAGAGAAAGTGGAGTTGGTGCCTACTCTGCCGGGCAAGGAGCTCTGGTGGAGAAGCACTGGGCAGCTGCTCACATGGCTGGTGTTCCAAAGTGACCAGCCGCTCCAAGGGAGAGACGAGGCTGCCTGCTCCTTTCAAAACTTAGTTTTGGAGACTGTAGCCTTGTGTTTCATCAAGGAGGTGGAAGTGGGTTACTTTTTGTTTTTGTAAAGGAGAGCTGGCCTGTGGTTTTCCCGCTTGCTGGACATGGTGGGGTGGGCAGGGTAGTGAGGTCCTGTGCAGGAGGGATACGCCCCCATGCCTGCCTTATGTACCCCCAGATCTCGCCAGAGGTGCTGTGCCGAGAGGGCATCAAGGTGCACAGGACTGTCCAGCAGAGTGGCCAGTTCGTCGTGTGCTTCCCGGGATCCTTTGTGTCCAAAGTGTGCTGTGGCTACAGCGTCTCGGAGACCGTACACTTTGCCACCACCCAGTGGACAAGCATGGGCTTTGAAACCGCCAAGGTGAGTCCAAGAGCCTCACTGCTACAGCCCCTCCCGGCGCCAGGGCTGGGCGCTGCACGCGTGCCAACAGTCAGGGTTCCAGAGAACATGTTCAGAGCGTGGTGTGTCTTTACAACAGGGAGAGTTTCCCAGGAAAAAGAAAATTGCTAGGGCTTCTTTTGTATTTGGAACACGTGGGGGTGCGTTTGTCTTCCCTGAGTGGCCCTGGGTAACCTGTAGGACAGACAGACACGCCTTCACAGAATTGCTCAGACCACATGGTGGGGGCCCGGCAACTCTGGGTGGCCCCTTCTCACACCGCAGACCCCAACCCGTGTGGCTTTCACATCCAGAAGAAGCCCGGAGCTGGGTGCTCCACAGCTCACCCCGCCCCGGACAGACACCCCCTGGGCCATGGGTTTCTGACGCCCCCTGCGGGCTGTGCTGTGTGTGTGTCTGCAGGAAATGAAGCGTCGCCACATAGCCAAGCCTTTCTCTATGGAGAAGCTCCTCTACCAGGTTGCACAGGCGGAGGCCAAGAAGGAGAATGGCCCCACTCTCAGCACCATCTCGGCCCTTCTGGACGAGCTCAGGTAACCAGGGCATGGGTCCCAGGACAGAGCTGCCCACTACGGGCTCCCAGGGTGCCTGTCTCTTGCCAACGAGTCACTCAGAACTGCAAAGACCCTCCCGGTGGCAGTCCCTGAGTGACACACGAGACTAACCATGCTTAGCTGCGAACTGAAAAGTTGGGGTCAACGGCGGAAACGTGGCTCTTGACAAACCCTGTGAGTTACAGTTCCACTCTGTTAGCTCTGCGGGTCCACCTTGAGTGAGAATCGGAGTGCATAAAGAGACTGGGGCTGCACGGTTGCCATCCTGCGTCTCCCTCATGGTGATGTCTGGCGTCGGGGTTTCCCTGGTGGGTGGTGCCCAGCCTAGGCTAGTCCCCTGAGGGGTCGTGGGCTCGGAGTCCCTGTGCCCCATGGTCCCTCCGGGGCCTCTTCACACAGGAGGGAAGCGTGTCCCTGGCTTCAAGGACCTGCCTGTTATCCAATGCCCCGGTTGTCTCCACTGCATGTGTGTGTATGTGTGCATGTGAGAGGAGCCTTTCCTCGTGTGTGAGAGAGAGGAGCCCACCCTGTGTGTGGGACCCCAGCAGCTGCCTCCAGCTTCCCCCGGACCCCTCGGACCTCCTCGGCTGACAGCCACCAAGGCAGGAAGTAGCGAGTGTGCTTGGCTTCTGATGTAACCCTCTTCTCTTTTCCTACCACATAGCCTCCTAATCTCCCTCCCTCCCCAGGGAGAGCCGGGAGTGCTGACAGCCAGCACACGAATTTCAGCCGTGTGCGTCGACCCTTTGATGACCAGAGCGACAAATAGTGTGTTAACTCAATCCTTGGTTTGGAATGAAAGGAGAGCCCCTTTCCCAGGGTTAGCGGCATGGTAGCTGTAGGGAGAGTGACCTCGCCGTGGGGCCTTTAGAGCTGGGGTGATTGTTTGACCTTTGACTAAAGAAGATCGCGTGCTTCCCAGGGCCGCAGTGAGCTGAGTGGGGCTGAAACATCACATAGATTCGCTGCACTTCCCAAGGGGGGTGGGGGCTGGGTTGGGGCAGGCCCTTTCGGAGGTGCTGCATGGTCTGACACCATGCGCGAGGCCCTGACCCCCGGCCCGCCCACGTGCACAGGGATACAGAGCTGCGGCAGCGGAGGCAGCTGTTCGAGGCCGGCCTCCACTCCTCCGCCCGCTACGGCAGCCACGACAGCAGCAGTGCAGTGGCGGACGGGAAGAAAAAGCCTCGAAAGTGGCTGCAGTTGGAGACTTCGGAGAGGCGGTGTCAGATCTGCCAGCACCTGTGCTACCTTTCCATGGTAAGTGCCACCTCGCCGCTGACCCAGAGCCTTCCGCCAGGCCTCGGGCTGAGCGGGCTCCCCAACACCTGCCCAGGAGACTGAAGCCGCCCTCCGTGGGGTTCCGGCATCTCCGTCCCTGGCTGCATATCCATGTGGTCCTTGGGCCTGTCCGTTCACTCGGCTTCCCTTGCTGCCCTCCTTCCTGTGACAGACAGGCATCCCAGTGCTGCCCCTCTCTCTCCACTTTCCCATCCACCCACGTGCCAGTCTCACTCTACTGCAGGCTGCAAGCTGGCCTTTCCCTTCTAAGCCGTGCCCTCCAGTAGCCAGCCTCCGGGCTGATCGTAGCTGGGTGTGTGGTGTGTCGGGTCTGATGGAAACTCAACACCCCCCTTCTACCCTGAGCTCTTGCTTCCTCTGCCTCTCACTTCACACGGTGTGTGGCCCTTGGCCAGCCCTCCTGCCCTTGCTCCCTGGACACTGGTGGGGGCTGCCTACTCTGACGGACTGCAGGGGCCTGATGGGACACGTTTCTCGGCGTAGTACAGCGGTTCTCAAACTTCCTCCTGCCGCCACCCTTTAATATGTTGTGGTGAAGCAGTTTGCTCCTGTACGAATCGACAACCCCTGTGAAAGGGTTGTTTTGACCCCCAGGTTGAGAACCGCTGGCGTAGTACGTCTTCCTCACCTCTGCCACCCGCTGTTTGCCACTAGGATTTCCCCTCCCTTTGGGCGTGACCCTTGCTCCACACTGAGCGCCACCACGCCCACGCACAGGGCCTGGGCTCCTTGGGGTCCGCAGTGGGGAGGAGCAGCGTGGTCAGTGCTAGTCGGGTCTGGTTCTCTCGTGATCCGTGCGAAGGGCCCCCAGAGTGTGTGCCTTGCCTGGAACCGTGCTGCACTGGGGCTTTTCGCCTTTTCTCCGTTGCCTTTCCTTAGCTTGTGGCAGGCCCCTCGACTTGCCCTTTAAAACCGGCACCCCCGAGAGCTGCGGCTTCCTTCTTGTGGGGGGAGTGAGGGGGTGCTTTTGGTGGGTACACATGTGGCAGGGCTGACGGCGGGGCCCAGCCCAGCGTGTGGTCCCCTTTGGCCCTTCCTGTTCCGAGGGCTCATCATGGAACCAGCAATACTGGTCTGCTCCTGCAGCGTCATATCACCAGGGCCACGAGCCCCTGGCACCTCTAGGTGCTGAGTGTGGAGCGCTGGCTTGCCACAGGGACCTCTCACTTCATGTTGGTTTACACCTGGACTGGTGGTGGGCCCGGCGGGGGCTCCTGGTAAGGGGCCAGGCAGCCTCCTCCTCTCTTCCGCCCTTGGGCCCATCCTGAGGGTGGGAGTCCTGGAGGCTGTGTGGTAATGAAGCTGGGGTGGGGTGGGGTGGGGTGGGGAGGAAGGACGACCTGACCATGTGGGAGCCCCATTGATCTGTGCAGCTCTAGTACCCAAGTTGTTTTAGCGCGACAGAAACCTCTGGTCCCTCGGGACACGAGCATTTGCACACACAGTAACTGGCCCCCTCTCCGGGAAGCTGACGTAAAGGGGCCTGGGTGGAGCAGCCCCTGCCCCCAATACGTTTGTTTATTCCATGGAGAGCCAGCATTCTGGGGCCTAGGCCTGGCAGGCTGCCTGTCCTGCCTGCTTCCACTCGCAGTGGGTTCCCAGCTCGTGCCCCGCACGTCAGGGTGGTATCGCCTTCTGAGCCGGCTCCACGCCCCACTGCCCCCAGGTCGTGCAGGAAAATGAGAATGTGGTGTTCTGCCTGGAGTGTGCGCTGCGTCACGTGGAGAAGCAGAAGTCCTGCCGAGGGCTGAAGCTGATGTACCGCTATGACGAGGTCAGTCCCCACACGCATGCCAGAAGCTAAGCCGGGGATGAGGGTGGTATTTTCAGATGGCCTTCTCTGTCCCAGAGAAAGACACCTGGGAATTGAAACTGTCCATTCAGTACACTTGGCCTGCTGCTCAGCAAGAGTTTCCTGAGCCAGGCTCACCGCTGTCTCAGGTATTCAGAGGCTTCTAGTCCCCGATTGCCTGTGGGCGAGGAGCAGCTCCCCCCACATCCTCTGCACCAGCGAGGCAGCCATCCTCGTTTCCACTGGGAGGCAGTACATTTGCCGCAGGGAGTCCCTACCTCAGGAACTTTCTGTAGGAGGTGGCGTCTCCCTCACCGGGCACTGAGTCACCACGCTACAGAGCTGCTCGTTGGTACCTGCAGGGATGTAGCTGTGTGATGGCTTGACTCATTTCCCTGCCCTGCCTCCCAGGCTGCACCCCTGCACTGCTGGCCAGTGACTTGGGGGCCCAGACTGTGCATGGCTCCCCCTCCCACCACTGATGGCAGCAGCAACACCCCCACCCCACCCAAAAAAAAAAAAAAGGTTGCTGGTCTGGCAGGAGGCTTGGCCGCCCACCCAGCCTTTTCCACTCTGAGCCCGGTGCCTCTCGAGCCCAGGGCTTTACTTCTCAGGGTCCAGTGTTTTCTGTGCGGGGGAGGAGGGGGAGCGGTGGTGGACGGAGCACACCCCTCCTTCCCAGTGCCTCTGTCTCTTCCGTTTGACCTCAGAGTTCTCGCAATTGCTTCCAAACTGCTGGGGCAAAGCCTGTACTCGGCCCCTTCAGAAGGTCTTTGACCTTCAATCCTTTCTTGTGTTCTCACCTGTCAGTCAGCCTGTGGCTCCTGAACCAGGCTGGGGCCCGCTCCCCTTACCCCTGGTCCTGGGCACAGGTGACTGCACTGTGGCCCTTAGGAAATGGCCTCACCAGGGAGGCCATGGTGCTACAGAGATGGGGTCCATTGGTGCGTTAGACTTGAGCAGTCCTTGGCTAAATTAGATTGGAAAGCTGGAAATAGACCCATTTGCATCTTCGTTATTTAAAGAGTGTTCAGTGGGGCAATAACCACTGTGCAGTCCCTGCTTCTCCAGTCTTAACAGCAAATGTCAGGACCCAGCTAAAAATAAATCTAGTTGAGCGGGGGTGGGGGCGGCCCTGGGTGAGCAGCTCCGGCAGTTTGCAGAGGGGGCTCCTTCCTGCGCTCGCTGCTGCTGGTTTGATGAGGAGAAAGGCTCGGCGCCTTCCGGCTGGTGGTAAAGGGACACGTGAGTGGGTTGTGTAGCTGTGGGCTGTGAGGCCAACCCTGCTTAGTTTAGTTCCACGCCTGGTAAGCTCAGCAGAGCAGCCACCTCTGCTACCCAAGGGCTCCCTTTAGTTAGACAATCACAGGTGCCCCACCCTTAGGGCAACAGTGTGGGCTGGGAAGCAGTGTCCATTGTAGGACCCACTTTAGCCAGGGAGAGCCTCCTGGCACAGCTGTAATGGAGGCCAGGAGGACAGAGTCCATGGTAGCTGTCCCCCCTGCTTTTAGCATTTTTACCATAAAGGCTCCAAATAATAATAGGCCCTGTCCCTCACCAGGGGCGTCCCGGCACCCAACTCTGAGGGCTGTCCTGCCCACAGAGCACTCTCCCTCGCCAGTGGACGGCTGTGCAGCAGGTGCCTCACTGGGCAGCAAGCCAGCCTGGTGCACGGGCTCCCATGCTTGCTTTTGAGATTGGATGGGGTGGGGTAGGTGGGCCCCTTGGGTGTTTACAAGAACGTTGCATTCGTTATTTGGTGAGGAGAGTCAGGAATTAGGAACTAAGGTTTATAAGCAAGTGTTGGCACTTGTTTATAAGCCGAGGCTAAGTGGATTTTCGTGCCAGGGTTGGACAGCTCGGTCCGCCCTGGGCCCCACAGCCTTTTGTTGGGTGCTCACCAACATGGCCCAACCAGCTGGGAGCATGCTGGACTGGCATGCGTAAGGGTGTCACCGCTCTGCTCTCAGGGTGCTGTTGCTGTGTCGTGTCCCCCCTCGGTGGCCCCACGTTCACTGTGCTCTCCCTCACAGGAGCAGATCATCAGCCTGGTCAATCAGATCTGCGGCAAGGTGTCTGGAGAGAACGGCGGCGTGGAGAACTGTCTCAGTAAACCCGCACCAAAAAGAGGGCCCCGCAAGCGAGCCACTGTGGACGTGCCGCCCTCCCGGCTCCCCTCCGGCTCCTCATGAGGCCACCGCCGTGCAAAAGTGTGCTGTCCAGTTATATATTTTGTAATTATTATATTCTAGTTTGCAGTACTTGCTGTAGGATACAAGCTGTCTTTGCACTAGCTCTAAAGAAGATTTTTCTTCCGATATTAGAGAACTAATTTTGTTTTAGCATTAAACTGTTGGACTTTTTTCCTTTTTTTTTTTTTTTTTTGTACCTAAGATTCTAGAAACTGCAGTCAGATTTTTGGAACTGCTGTACACTTGCTGTGTGAAGACCCTGTGTGAGGGGCTTTGTTAATTTGTATCGCCTCTTTGGCTGACAGAAGCCTTCTTTTGTTTTGGTTTGGGTTTTTTTTGTTTTATTTTTTTGTAATATTTTGGGGGGAAAAGCTTTTATAACCCATTTTTGAAGAGGGTGAAGTTTGGAGAACAAATTATAAAAACCATCAATTGTATGAGCAGATTTTTTAAGACAGGAAAAAGGGACACACACACACACACACACACACACACACACACACACACACACAGAAAGAAATGGCTTTCCTGCGGCCGTCTTTTCTTCTGTTACGTGCAAGAGGAGTGTCGTCTGGAAGCCGGAGAGCCAGCCCCTCATGCTGCGTCTCCGGGCGGCACTGGGCGAGGAGTTCTCTCCACCAGCACACCACTATGCATCTGTTTAGGGCCGAAGGAGAGCGGAGCCAAGACTGCCTGCCTTGGAGCGTCACGTGAGGGGCAACCGTGCCTGATTTCATTCGGAAATCCGCTTCTGTTCACTTTTGGTGCTGTTGGCTACTTTATACAAAAAACAAAAAGCAAAACCCTTCAGTAGCATCCTGGAAAGAAACGTGGGAGGGGAAGAAGTGGCAGGGGCGCCTGCACTTCCTTGTCTTCGATGTGCAATCTTCCTGACATTCCAGCGCGGCTCGCCGTCGTCGCTCAGCGTTACTTTCTTTGGTTGGCTGGTTTGCTTTAGGGTCACACCTGGAGCCCCTCGAAGTCTCCCGTCCACGTCCAATGTGAAAGTGCAGCTGTGCGCTCACCTTGTCTGTTTTGTTTTTGTTTGTTTTTCTCTTCATGTTGTAACACAAATGAAAAAGAAAAAAGAAAGAAACCATACCTTTTGTACATATGCCTGTAAATTGTTTTAAATACTTGAGCCTTTTTCTTGGGGGGGATGGGGAGGGCGGAAAGACAAGATGAAGAAAAGCCTTACATTTCCGTTTCTTCATCGGTTGGATTGGATGCTTACAGGGTTTTTCTTGTAACGTTTATAAGTGCTGCTTACATCAAGGAACAACAACAGAAATCATCAGTGGAGTAGCTGTTGCCCTTCTCCGGTTGTGTGTACAGTGCGTGTGGAATAAAAAGGGAAGCTGTTTTCACAAGAGGTTCTCTGTTTCCTAATTGAGCCTGTGCTGCACCGCGCAGTGGTGCCGAGCGTCCTGACCCACGTGGGCGGCGGTTGCACAGACTGGGCGGTGGAGTCCGCGGTTTCCGCGGTGGTTGGTGTTGATGGCCTGGCTGTGTGCTCCCCCTTGTGGACAGTCAGCTCCCACCTATGGCTTACGTTTGACAGTTAATTTATTCGCGCTGCTCGGCACTCTTTGGGGGGGGGGGGTCATGTTGTTTATTGCCAGTTTCTTTGTTTACTTTTCAGGTTTGTACTACAAGGTTTAATAAAAACAAAGCTTTTTGGACTTTGGTGAAGAGTGACTGCAGTGAGCTAGGCAGTCACCCCACTTGGGCTCCCAGGGGCTCCAAGTGTTGAGGGCTGACCTGCTGCTTTGTAACAATTGGTTCTACTTTAAAGGAAGGACGGATGGACAGACTTTCTGTCAGGGCGGGTTGGTCACTCAGCTCCCAGAGCTGCGCAGGTACTTACCCAGGCTTGGCAGAGACTGAGGGTCGAAAGCCGTCCTTCATGTAACAGAGTGGCCACATACGCTCATTCTAATGCTGACAGTCTGCAGACTTTATTGTAGTCGGCTGCACGTGTGTCTCACACACCATTGGCAACGCGGCACAAATGGAGACCCTCCCCTAAACCAGCAGCGGCACAGGTCACGGCGCGTGCCCGTCTCTCGGGCCTCCTGCGGTCATGGTCAGAGCGTCCTCATTTAGGAGTCACTGTCATCAGTAACATCTGAGGTGGCCTTCCTGTCGCTGCTCAAGGTGGCCAGCGCCGTGTCCACTTGGACCTCCTCCTCGTCAGACTGCACCAGGGGCGATGGCGACCCCCTACCCTCGCCGGGCTCCTGGGTAGCCGATTCAGAGCAGGAGGAGGACAGGGAGGGCAGCCTGGCTCGTAGCTGAGCAGGATCTGGAACCTGGAGAGTAATTTCATCCGGACCTGGGCTGGATGCAGGCTCTGTAACAGACAGTGGGGAGAAAGCCGACATGAGGTTCTGAGAGAGGCACAGCGCTGTCTGTCCCAGGGGACCTGCTCCGCACAGCCTGCTGTGTCCCTCTCCAGGTCCGCCTTCTCTGCGGAACGTGGAGATGTCTGAGCTTCCTTGGTGTGAGGTGAGGAAGGGGCACCTCAGAGAATATTGGGAGTCGAACGAACCTCAGAACCATGGAATTCAACCTACGAATCTGCCGAGTTCAAACAGGGAGGGCACAGAGCGTGATGGGAGTGTGTGTGTGTGTGTGTGTGTGTGTGTGTGTGTGTGTGTGTGTGTGTTTTTATATATGAGTTGGAATCAACTTAATAGCAATGATTTTGGTTAAGAGGACACGCGTTTAAAATTCACGACTAAGTGAACCCCATGAATACATCTCGGTACTGCTGAACCCACCATGGGGACA